TTTTAGTCATGTACTCCGGAAATCCCTCAATCTCCTTTATTCACAGGCCAGGTTATCACATTAATGGTGCTAACAGTTAGTTAATGGTGTTTTCTTTAATAAATAAATAATTGGTTTTAGTTCCTTCCTTAACGGGCACTGACATATGAAGCATTCTCCAAATGCATCACTGTAATTTAGACACACATCACTAGTGTACGCATTACTGAGCTTACACACACAATGCTACAGGATAGACTTTGCTAAGAAAATGTTTATGGTACTTAAAACAGAAAAATAAATATAAATGCTAAGATAAATATAGGATTATTATTTTATGAAGTTTGAGGCATCTTAATCAATGCACATTGTATAACTGCTCCAGTTAAAATGCTGGTTGCAAAGTTTACAGTTTTAGAAATAAGAGAGTATATACAAAATCTGTTATTTTGTGTGATAGATAACTTACTCAAAAATGTGTGTTATAATATATACTAATATAAACACAAATATGGATCAACCTGAGACAAATCAAGAATATGATGACAATAAGTCAGTGTTCAATATAGTTCACAGCATACAGTACAGACCAATTTATAAATGCAAGCCTCGCACTGGGCAGACTGATGTACACTGCTCAAAAAAATAAAGGGAACACAAAAATAACACATCCTAGATCTGAATGAATTAAATATTCTTCTGAAATACTTTGTTCTTTACATAGTTGAATGTGCTGACAACAAAATCACACAAAAATAAAAAATGGAAATCAAATTGTTCAACCCATGGAGGTCTGGATTTGGAGTCACACTCAAAATTAAAGTGGAAAAACACACTACAGGCTGATCCAACTTTGATGTAATGTCCTTAAAACAAGTCAAAATGAGGCTCAGTAGTGTGTGTGGCCTCCACGTGCCTGTATGACCTCCCTACAACGCCTGTGCAGGCTCCTAATGAGGTGGCGGATGGTCTCCTGAGGGATCTCCTCCCAGACCTGGACTAAAGCATCTGCCAACTCCTGGACAGTCTGTGGTGCAATGTGACGTTGGTGGATGGAGCGAGACATGATGTCCCAGATATGCTCAATTGGATTCAGGTCTGGGGAATGGGCGGGCCAGTCCATAGCATCAATGCCTTCGTCTTGCAGGAACTGCTGACACATTCCAGCCACATGAGGTCTAGCATTGTCTTGCATTAGGAAGAACCCAGGGCCAACCACACCAGCATATGGTCTCACAAGGGGTATTAGGATCTCATCTCGGTACCTAATGGTAGTCAGGCTACCTCTGGCAAGCACATGGAGGGCCCCCCAAAGAAATGCCACCCCACACCATTACTGACCCACTGCCAAACCGGTCATGCTGGAGGATGTTGCAGGCAGCAGAACATTCTCCACGGCGTCTCCAGACTCTGTCACGTCTGTCACATGTGCTCAGTGTGAACCTGCTTTCATCTGTGAAGAGCACAGGGCACCAGTGGCGAATTTGCCAATCTTGGTGTTTTCTGACAAATGCCAAACGTCCTGCACGGTGTTGGGCTGTAAGCCCTCATACCACCCTCATGGAGTCTGTTTCTGACTGTTTGAGCAGACACATGCACATGTGTGGCCTGCTGTAGATCATTTTGCAGGGCTCTGACAGTGCTCCTCCTGTTCCTCCTTGCACAAAGGCAGAGGTAGCGGTCCTGCTGCTGGGTTGTTGCCCTCCTATGGCCTCCTCCACGTCTCCTGATGTACTGGCCTGTCTCCTGGTAGCGCCTCGATACTCTGGACACTACACTGACAGACACAGCAAACCTTCTTGCCACAGCTCGCATTGATGTGCCATCCTGGATGAGCTGCACTACCTGAGCCAATATGTGTATTATTACATATTCATACATGCATACATCATTTTTTATCAGTTCTCTATCGCATTACAAGATAAATGGTTTTTACATTAAAACAACTGTATTAACGCATCTGCCATATTAGAAACAGATGAAAATCTGATACATTAGAAAATCTTATCGGTCACATCCAGGTCCAAACTGGGACAAAAACTCAAAAACTCAGCCCAAGCATTTAAAGGCAGATCAGCACATTATGGGAGGGGGTGGCGCAGAGCTAGAGATGGGGCATATTGTATCATCCCAATGACATTCACACTTTCCAGGCATGTCAGTTTGATACCCCTTCAGGGTAGCTCATTCACAGGGCTCTGCTGAAGAGCTCTGGAAAAGCAGAAATGCCAAGTGAGTGTAGTGACAGACTCGTTCTGTGTTAAGGTAAATATCAGTGGAAAAAAGAGAGATGGTTGGGAGAGGGTGTTGTCTGTATGTATAGGGAGGTTGTCTGGCATATTGTTTGTGTTAGAGGTATGGGCATGCTGCTGGAGGCAGCAAGGAGGAGAGCCCTATGGTAGGTTAGTTAGAAAAATAACTATTTAACATTTACACACTGCAACTGCATGTTCCCTCTACTGTAAGGCTTCCCTGCTGAGACCTATTGCTATCATGCTGATCCCAAATCTGGCCAGTTAGCCAATCAATGAGAACGCTCTCAAGAGCCAAGTCTCAAGATAAGTTTGACTTGGCTGTCAGAGTTCTTTGATTGGTTGGCTTACTGGCCAATCATTCTGAGCGCGCTTACAAATATCACATAGCTGACTTAGAATGGGAAAGCCTTTAAAAGGGCTTTCCCTACTGTGAGAGCTCAGTCCTCAGTGGGCCCTAGTAAAGTGAAATTGGGTTAATTTTATTGCTTCATGTTTTTCTTTTTTTTCATTGTATGTTGCTTTGGGGACGCTTAGTCACCAGGGGAGAGAAGCAGGGGACATGCCACTGTTTTGGGGAGGAGGACAATGGTATGTCCACCCCCCATTGTTCACTTATTTAGATCCCCATCCAGCATCCATTGGTTGGGATTGGGGGTACACTAAACTCCTCACCCAGAATATTATTAATATTATGTCAGATGCATTCACCTAATTTACCAAATTAAATGGTGACAAAGGAAATATGTAAGCTATTTTTAGTTCCTAACATAGGGGCTCTGAATCCACTAGAACTAATAAAGCATTTTATGGTTACATTCCCTTTTATAACATATCGATATTTAGTAGTTTTTTTCTATAGAAGTACCTAAAATATATATTCTCACCTTACCTTTACACTGACTGTTAGGTTAACTGACTATTAGGTTACTAACAACATGACTTGTGATAATTGTGGATTCATCTCAGTAACCCTGAAATATCAGATGTCTTGGATAACCATAAAGCTCCAACATTAACTAATTAGGACACACTATATTCAATTGTGAAGTAGATTCTTACTCTTTCACTTACCATTATCTGGACTACCTAACCTCCGTTCCATTGGCCCTTTGTATTTTTATGTAATAAAGACTAAGAAAACTGCTAACATTTTAAATCTATTTACTTTTCTTCTGCCTCTTCTGAAATGGTTACTTATTATCCATACTGTCTCTTTTAAAACAGCAACAGTATATGAAAAGCTATTATATGAGCCCAGGAAAGGAGGTGACTCTGGCAGTCACTTCTAAAAAAAAAAATAAAGTAAAAAAAAATAATCTATTCTAAAAATCTTGCAAAATTTCAAATTGAGTGCAATTTATCTTTGAAACACGAAAAAGCGAAACGCATTTGGTTGCTATTGACAACAGGGACAGTGCTGTTACCGGACATTTGCAGAAAAATCATTGTATACAAACTTTATTGTTGAAATATGCTTACAAGAGCTAATTTTGAGTCCCACTTATCTCTGCATAAGTGGTATATTTAAAATCCTTTCCTGTACTGACAGGTGTGATAAACATTAATTTGTTTTGTTATGATTCAACAGAAAAGAGAATGTTGGTTTACGCTGCTATTCACAATTGCTTATCTCAATAGAATATGAAATTACTCACTGATATTTAATGTATGGCTGCATCAAACATTCCTTACGCTCTCTGCGACTGGTGGGAAAGGCTGACTCATAGACACACTGACCAGCTTTTGGCTCAGTACTGAGGGCTCTATCTCCTGTCTTATTGCTAAGGGTTGGCAACATCTAGAAAGGGAATCTCAGATCTAGGACAGGATTCAAGTCTTTATGATAAATCTTAACTCACCAAAATGTGATAAAAATCTCCTCACTACCACAAACACTTTTTATGAGTAACTAAAGGGACCATTGACAAATTAATTTTTAATTTTTTTTTTTTTTTTTTTAATATACATTTTTATTGAGATTTTTTTCCCCCCAATTTGGTTGGTATAACATGACAATAGCAATCAATATTACAAACATAAAAGAAAACTTAAAGTATAACAAAAAAGTTCAAAAGTACAGTCAGTAAATGATACATAACATCAAACGTAATATAGGTTTCACAGGTGTTTCACGTCATGTAAGCACTGCATGTGTGATTCAGGAAGACTGTGTCATGTAGAGAGAAGATATGTAGGCATCAACGGGATGTAAGGAGTGACAAGTGAAAAAGGCTAAGTAAGAAAGAACAGAAGTGGGGGACATGAAATGAAAGGGAGGAAGAACAATGAAGGGTTGGTCCCCGGGAGCCCTAATGAGTCCTAACTCTGGTACAAGGTATTTTCTTGAATTTGGATAGAGTGTCAGTGAGTTTATGGATCATCTCTTCATACTGTTGTCTGTTTCAGGGAGGTCATACTGAGTGAATAAGTGCTTGCAGGTTTGTTTTCCAATGCCCAGTAATGTTGGTTCTCGCGGCTGTGAGAATATGTAATCTTCTTAGTTGCGAGGGGAACATTTTGAGAAGAAATTGTTCAGGTTGTAGTGGTATTACAGAACTTAGTGGTGTTGTAAATAACAGATTATAGGGTTAAATATGTGCGAGTCTTGTGGGAACTATATGCCACCTCATTATCATTTGTCGATTGGATTCCCAACGTGTTATTCATTTTGAGGTTAGATGTTGCATAAGGTTTTCCTCATCTCGATTCTCATTGATAGAATGCCTTGATATTTTATAGATTTTTATGAAGAGTTTTTTTGTTTCTTCATTCACATTCGAGACAGGTCGTTGACACATTTCCATTTCTGCGGCAGACCTCCACTTCACTCCGATGGCAGAGAGGAGTGGGTGGAAGCTGCAGCTTCGCTCTCTGTGCTGCATTCACCGCTGAAATTGTGAAGTCCATGGACCTGAAATATGATGACATCTGTGGTCTCGGGTGTGTTCACCTTTACTTTCTTTGGTTTTCTGGGGATGCAGCAGCACCCGTCTCAGGCAGGATCCCCTATTTTTCTTTTTTCCCCCCTCCTCTTCTTTGTCGCCTTCATCTGACTCACTCAGGATTTCGATTTTGTTTTATTTCCTTCTTGCTCTGAGCTGGTCTTTCCTGGGTGTCAGGTACCACATCCTCTGCAACTACTTCACAGTTCTCCTCAGATTCGCTTGACTTTTCCAGTAAAGGTCCATCCTGAGCCTGCTACCCACAAAAAGAAAAGAAAAAAATCAGAATATATTCATTAACGGAGCCCATTGTGCATTTCTATTCATTATCATTGGGTGTGTAATATAGATTTTGTGTGTGTGTGTGTGTGTGTGTATGTATATATGCGTTTGTGTAAATATATATATACATTTCTCTGTAAGGAGAGGAATAAAATAGAAGGTGAATATACACAGAAAACTGTAAGTCAACACAATGTGCTATGTGACATGGGGTTAATGCTACGGTTCTAAGGATAAATTACTTAGTCTTTCAGAATGCTTTTACACCCATAAAGCTGGCAATGCATCACGGAAGATGTAGTGCAGAACATCTGGACTGCCAAAGGTTGCCTTCCCCTGGTGTATAGTGTATCACAGTGACACACATGGGAAGGTGATAAATCATCACACACAGTAATACAATTCTCAAAGCAGAATAAGCAATTTATCCCTACAACCATGACATTAAATATTATTAAGATACTATAGTATTAAGATCTTTCTTTCTGTATTAGAGAGAGAATTGCCATCTTTCTTTCCCTGGTATTTATTTATTTATTTATTTATTTATTTATAAAATATTTTACCAGGAAAGATACATTGAGATTTCTCTCGTTTTCAAGTATGTCCTGGGTCCACAAATCATTGCATTGTTACATTAGGTACAACAAAATACAAAAACAATATTAATACACAATATATACAAAATTTAACATAGAACAGGCAGGAAATATATAATCAACCATGACACGTGCATTCTGTTTTGAGGTATGTAGAGAGGGATCTCTTAAATGACTTTAGGCTTAGGGAAGATTTTAAATTGTGCGGGAGGTCGTTCCACAATTGCGGCGCTCTGTAGGAGAAGGAGGATCGGGCCGCTTTCTTTTTGTATTGAGGTAGACTAAGTAAAGTGCTTGTACTGGATCGGAGGTTATAGAAAGTGGGAACAGCTGGGGAAAGCATTTTGTTCAGGTAGGGTGTGAGTTTCCCAGAAAAGCTCTTAAAAACAAGGCTGGAAAGATGAAGGGTGCGTCTGGATTCCAGCGACAGCCAGTTTAGTTCCTTTAGCATGTCACAATGATGGGTCCTGTAATTACATTGTAGCACAAATCTGCAGAACGAGTTATACAATGTGTTGAGTTTATTAATGTGGGATTGCGATGCAGACGCATATACTACATCCCCATAATCAATGATTGGCATCAGCATTTGCTGTACAATCTTTTCCTTTACTGTAGGGCTTAGGCAGGCTTTGTTTCTGTACAGGGCACCTAATTTTGGATAAAGTTTAGATGCAAGCTTTTCTATGTGCAGGCTAAAAGATAGATTGGGGTCTAATATCATACCCAAGTATTTGAAAGAGTGGACCGCGGTCAGTGTGCCATTTGAATTTGTTTTGATGGATAGGTGGGGATTGTGTAATTTGTGTAATTTAGGTACCGTTCCAAAGATCATTGTGACAGTTTTGTCAGTGTTCAGGAAGAGTTTGTTTTTTGCGATCCACTTTTCTACCTCTGTAAACTGGTCTTGGAGCAAAGCCTCAAGTTGAGGTAGATTGGATTTGCTCGCATAGATTACCGTGTCATCTGCGTACATGTGTACATTTGAGGATTGGCAGACATTAGGCAGATCATTTATAAATAATGTAAATAGTAGGGGGCCGAGAATGGAACCCTGGGGAACACCACACGTGACTGGGAGAGGGAGGGAGTCACTGTCAGAAATGGACACATATTGTGAGCGATCCGATACATACGATCGAAACCAGTTTAAAGAATGATCACCAATACCTGAGTTTTCGAGTTTGTGCAGTAGGATGTCGTGGTCTACTGTGTCAAAGGCCTTAGCAAAATCAAGGAAAATAGCTCCAGTTAGGGCTCCTTGTTCCATGCCAGTTTGGATGTCATTGCAAACTTTTAGGAGGGCAGTTGTAGTGGAGTGATTCTGGCGAAAGCCCGATTGATCAGGGGTCAGATAGTTTAATTGTTGGTAGTGAGAAAGTTCAGGGATTTTTCCTCAGTAAAGTTTCTACCTCTAGTCAATATCTAATGACCCCAAAATCTTAAGGACTAATCTGCCACATTGCGTACATGCTTACCTGGTCTTGGATCTCGATCTGTGGCAGTGGGGAACTGTCACACATTCCCAGGGGCTCAGCCTCAGTTTGGCTAGTTATTTTCTTTGATAAGCCCACTTGGTTTGCAAGTACGAGAGCATCTACATGCTACAAGTCAAAAGGAAAACAAAATCAGAATGTATTAATTAATGAATCCCTTGGACATTGTCATGTTTCAACTTTCATAGTAATGATGTGTGACACTGTGTATTTTATTTATACATAGATTTAAAAAATAAAAATAGCACAAATTAATGCGACTGAGCCCTGGAGTTCCTCCGATCAACAAAAAGAAAATGCAAAAAAAAAAAAAAGCAACACACAAATACACACTTATATTAATTGCACACAAACACACCTTGCTTTTCTAGAAACACATTGACATTCTTTTCAGAAATACTCTACATTGACATTTATAAGCAGTTCACACTGATTCACCCCTGAATTCACAGCACACCGATTACAAACAGAACCCATTCATAAAATGTACATTTTGCACTCAGTTTTATGAATAGGGGCCTCCTGATTGAATGCAGAATTGGTTGAAGGCACTGGGCAGAGCAGACAGGGTTAAACCCTTCATAGATGGTTTAACCCTTTAAGGTAGGAAGGCACATAGGACTTCCTGGTACCATAACAACTTCAATTGATGAAGTTGTTATGGTGGCCAGAGTATCCCTTTAACGTTAGATACAATCAGCGAACTACACACACAGTCAGACTCATCCCATCATCCCACTCAGATGTATTGCTGAGAGGGGGTCTGAGATTCTTTGATTCTTACACCAGATCTCAGCAGTTCCCAGGTACACCCTTGGGAGCACTTACAAGTTTCAGAAGTCGTTTGTTATAATTCTTTTCTTTCTTTCCTTTCTTCCCAGAATCTTCTTCTATTAGCTGTTCCTCCTTGTTCTCTTCATTCTGCGACTCTGTCTCCATTTCTGGAGACTCGGGACACACCTCCTGTATCATAGTATAATGAGACAAAATAAATGCCGGAATTTGCTGCTCTGTGTTAACACATTAAATTGCCATTTTTTCATAAATACTAAGTTTGTTCAGTAAAATAGAATATCATACCTTTATCAGTTTTGTGTCTGTGTTTATGTTATAATTACACTTTTGAAATGTGATCCCCATCCCACAAGCTGGAGAAAACATTACATCCTCAGCTGCACATTACTGGACACCCCTAACAGTTCCTACTGGTTTTTAGGGGATCATAAGGGGGACTGTCACTATACTCACCTGTTCTTTGCTGATCTTCATGGCCTGGAAGCAAGGATTTACACTGGGAAAAGAGAGAAAGACAGTGAGATTAAATGATATAAAAAGGAAGAATGTCACAGGAAAAAGTAAATGATAAACATTTTGAAGAAATAAAAGAGTAAACAGTTATGGAAGAATGGGAACAAATGAGGAAGAATACTCAAATGAATCGTTGAATAAAACTTTCCTTCTCAGACCCGAAGACATAATTTTAGCTGCTGTTTAAAGTTACAAATACTCTTGCAATATTCTTCACGGGAACATTCCAAGCACCTTAACCAATCAGTGTTGTGCAGTGATTATCGTGCTAGGATTACCCTGACACCCCACAATGTAAGTAATCAAATCTTTTTTAGGACAGTTTGACTTCTTACCTGGGTTCCCCCAGGTGCTGCTGTTTGCCTCCACTACACCCTTCACAGAGCAGGAAGCTCTCTCTCTCTCTCTCTCTCTCTGAGCTAAACCTTTACCTCTCATGGCTGCAGAGAGGAGGTGGTGAGCGGTGTGACTACTTATAATGCTGAGAGCCATAGCAGTATGCCTGAAGTCTTCCTTTAAACTATGAACCATCACGAAAGGCGGCAAAAAAGCTAGAGTACTGGAGGTTACTCATACAATTTATAGCGTTCTACATATTCTTGTAGATAAATATAGCTCCCTATATTAGTTATGAATACGATTGATCCTCCTACTACCACATTGATACTTACTTCCCCACCAACCTTCCCAGTGCACAAGGAAAATCACATACTATGAACTCCGCGTGAAGTGCTGGAGATGAACCATGGTGATGAAGGGATGGCTGAGAAGGTCTATGGGAGTTATCCTCTTGTGGGGATCCATAGTGAGCATTTCCTTCATTAGATCAAGAAACTGCCATATGTCTGTCATCTCCACCAGCGTGTCACTGCTCTCCAACTTTGATGGTAAAATTATCTGAAGAGAAAGAAACAGTGTATGAGACAATGTTTTATTTTGGTGAGGTTAGTATTCATTAAAAAGCGATACGTTTCTTTCAGTGTCATAGGGCCAACATTAAGGGTAAAGGCAGTAACTACAGTTACTGCTTCTCTGTACTCCCTACCAACCTCCCAACTTCTGTAGTGTTTGGTAGGCTCAGGGGTAAAAAGCTACAATGTCACCTACAACGCTGGTAAAGGTTCTAGACAGATCATCAGATACTTGTAACAAGATAGGTCTCTGAAGATAAGACAGGGGTGCAAAAATCAAGTAAGGGATTCCTCTTTTATATTTTCATTATATATATATATATATATATATATATATGTGATACATTTCAAAAAAATACATATTAAAAAAGTGAAAATGTAACACCCATACATTATGACCTAACTGAAGTGCATACGAGCATAGACAAAATTTTTTTTAAGATTGCTTATCTAGAGGTGTAAAATGTTTTAAGTTTTCCCGTACAAACAATGCGCATACAAGCTAAGCACGAAGAGATTGTTCCACCACCTCCTCTGTGCTTGACCAACCAATTTTTTAAGTAAGATTTCTTCTTCTAAACCACAGAGAATGGCACATGGGTGAGAGGAAGATGCCATGTGATTTTGGATTAATGTGAGTGACCCAGGAATACAGTACCTTCCTCATATCATCAAGCGAACTGAAGACATATTTCCATCTTTCCATTGGTCTAATACCAGTGTCATATTCGTAGTGTATTTTACTCTAAAGAAGAGGATAAACAAGATTGTCCATTAGGTTCTGGAATGAGACCATCATTCAGTGTAGCATTCTACAGTGTCTCAATAAGTTTCCTGCTAATGTTAGAACGAAACCAATAAACACGTCTTAACATAACCTGACCCAGCAGCTTTCCCTGAGTCTAAACAGTTTAGTTTTTTTATTTACCATGTGGTTGTGAAAGTTTATTTATAAAATGGCTGCAAAGCTGACAGAGAAAAGGGGGGCTAGTTAAAACTCTTTATGGAGGAACTATTATTTCAATTTTATCACATCAGAACTTCTGAATGTAAGTGTGTAAAACTTAATCTGGCTTAATAAAATATATTAAATACAAATCCTGAAATGTTGCTTTAACCAGTTCATGGCAGATCATTTACTGGGACTATCGTGATATCATAGGATTTGCTTAGCCCCATTTCCTGAAGGTTTTACATGTCATTTATTTTTTATAAATATGGTTCTGATTAATATAGAAGGTCGCACCTTCAAACTCCATAATAAATCCTCACAATCGCCTTCGATTCTAAAGTAAAACTCGGTCTTTATTCCCCTATCAAGCATGTTATCAGGAGGCAAACCCTGGGTCTCTGTGATGTAGCGGATCTGCAGGGAGGAAGCAAGAGGTCACAACGTTTAATACCAGTACCGTCAGCTTCTATTAAAACTGTAAATGTACCCGTAATTACCCATAGCCCATAATCTCCAGCTTTGAATCTGTCTGATTTACTGCATTTCCACAACTGTTTAAGAACTAACATTTCCTGTGGTTATACTTGAGAAATTAAGTAAATGAATGTAAACTAGCATTATGAAATTGATATATAAATTACTAAACTTTACAAACAGTGATAGTAAGTATCTAAAAACAGAGTAAACAAATATGATTTTATCAAAACTAAAACAAAGATAATAAGTGGAGCTCTATAATACCTGGGATACTTGAATATATGGCAGATGTATTCAATGATATGCCTTTACAATGTGTATGTTATATATCATTTACAGATTATTGTAAAGGCATATCATTGAATACATCTGCCATATATTCAAGTATCCCAGGTATTATAGAGCTCCACTTATTATCTTTGTTTTAGACTATTGGTGTTTGTGAAGGTTAAGGGGATCCTCCACATAAGTGTTGAGCTTAATTTGTATTGTTTGAGTGTACACCCCTTGTTTGTTAAATATGATTTTATCCACATTCAAATGCTGCACACATTTTTATTAAAAGGCTTTGACTTCTTTTTGCTACATGGATATTCTTTATTCATTTTGCTTAAAGGACCACTATAGGCACCCAGACCACTTCAGCTCTATGTTTGCACTAGGGTTAATCCAGCCTCTAGTGGCTGTCTCACTGACAGCCGCTAGAGACACCTCCACAGTTCTCACTGTGAAAATCACAGTGAGAAGACGCTGGACGTCCATAGGAAAGCATTTAAGAAATGGAGTGTTTCCTATGGACTGTTTGAATGCGTGTGTAACTCTTGCCGCGCATGCGCATTCGGCACTGATGTTGGCAGAGGGAGGAGAGGTGACCAGCATCGAGGGAGCCCAGCGCTGGAGAAAGGTAAGTGTTAAACCCCTTCAGCGCAGTGGGAGTGGGACCCTTAAGGTTGGGGGCAACCTAAATACCCTATAGTGCCATGAAAAATAGGTTTGTTTTCCTGGCACTATAGTGGTCCTTTAAAAACTAGTTAAAATACAAACATTACCAAATGTAAAAGTTGGAGTACAATTACTTCTTATAATGTTTCGATTTAATTAATACATTAATTATACAGCTGTATGCGTCTATAGAAAGTTACCTAAACTACCAAATAAAGGCTGATTTGTGTATGCTAACATGGATGCTTTAAAATGTTCTAATTCATACTACCACTCAGTAGAATTAATCCCTTAAGGCGTTTAGGACATGTCCTTTAAAGATGGCATCGAACGTCCCTGGCGTCCTTAGTAATTACTGGGTCCCTGCCGTCGGTCACGATTCTGGGCACTGCGTGACATCCCAGTCACTTTCGCTGACGATATCATGGTTGTGATTTTTTTTCTGTTTTTAAAACACTAATATTTGTGCTCAGCAAAGTCTCCCAAGTATAACAGTACCCCTTATGTACAGGTTTTATAGTGTTTTTACGAAAGTTACAGGGTCAAAAAAATAAATAAAATATAAACGCCAATGTTGGCCAGTGTTCGTGACAAATTGACCACTAAAAAAAGACTGGACATACCCCATTTGCAATACCTTGGCTTGTCTACTTTTGCAAATGGTATACCACCATGAGAGTAATTCTGATTCTTGGGCTACTATACGGTCTGAAGGCAATTTAATCAGTAACTTTCAAATTCTATAAACTGAAAAATGGAGCATGTGCTATATGTAACCCTGTAACTTCTAGAACACCATAAAACCTGTACATGGGGGTTACTGTTATACTTGAGACAAAGCTGAATACAAATATGTGTATTTTATTTCAGAAAAAGTTATTTAACAGTATTATAACATCCACAGTTAAAATGCCATGCAGAACTAAAAAAAAAAAAAAGAAATTTTTTAAATTTCTCATACTTTAAAAAAAAAAATTAAATTTCTTTTGTCATGCTCAGTGGTGACAAAGATAAGACCGTATACATGTCAAAATGTACAGTGATGTAAACATATCAGTACATAATCAGTGTATACATTGTTCAGCACATTTTTATGTATAGATAACACAAATAGCCATGGTAAACATAATCTATCAAGTGCTGCCGGAACCTGTAGCTTGTACATTAGGAATGAAGAGTTTTGGTAATAGTAGTTAGCTTTGGAACAGTTTTACTGAAACTACTACCCCTGGAGAGTGTAAAGTGTGCTAGTATTTGGCCTAGAGTGGAAGAACAGGCTGTGTCCCCCTCTACTTGGCAAGAGGATCATAACCATAGGACATATACAATAGGTTTAGGGGCTATCACCCACTTTCCTGTAACTATGAGAGTAACTTCCAATAGAGTGGGTGAGAGTGGGGGGGAGTAAGGGGAGACCCTTAGCCAGCGGGTGTTGTGTGGAGGAGTGTATTTCCTGTCTTGGCATATGGAACAACATTAATAAACTTGCAAACATGCATTAGAAAAAAAAACCATAAGAACAATAGAAATGATTGCAAATGCAGGATTGGTGCTCAAGAGATCGCCATCGGTGCAGAGGTACTCCGTTGGGCGGATGGCACAAAAGGGCGAGCCCCAGCGGGATCCCAGGTGGTGGGTTGAGGCCGATGCGTTGGGGACTGTGAGACCACTGTAGTAGGGGACAACTTCAGCTGCTGCAGTATACAAGTTATCTCTGAGGTGTCCATGATTTTGCAGGGTATCAAGAGACACCGTGGGGCCCCTCACTTGTAGGGCACGTTGTTTTTCGTAAGTTCCATGGTTAGTGGTCTCAATGATCGACGCCAGGTCATAATCTCTCTAGAGACGTCCGGATAGAATGAAAGCTTGTGGTCTTCAAAGTTGTAGGGTGTTTTGCTGCGAAATGCATTCATGAAAGTTTGTTTATCAGGCCCATTTTGAAAGCAAATGATCACAACTCTGTGCTCTCCCCTGGTGCCTGTTGGAGGTGCTGGTAGCTGGAAACAGCCATCTACAGCCATAAGTTTTGCTTGTTTAGCAGAGAATAATTGGGATTTTGGCTGTTGCGATATTGTCGGGTAAACCCTGCATCTTTATATCCTTCCACCTCTGGCGATCTTCCGCTGCTGCCATGCAGGTCTGGATCTGTGCCTGGTCGCGTTTCAGCTCACTTAGCTCTTGTTCTAAGTTGGCAATGCAAGCCTCATGGGCTGCAGTGGCGACTTCAGAGTCGTGTAGACGCCCCGATACCCATCTTATTTCCTCCTTGAATAGGGTAATGTCAGCAGCTATGTTACGTTGGAGGTCATCTAACAGGATTTTCAGGGTACGCTCTGTCACAGGTTGGCCCTCTGCGTGGGCTCTGGGTCTCTCAGTGCTCCTCCTCCCAACTGGTAGTTCCAGCTCTCCCTCATCAGCTAGGGATTCTTCGCTAGTTGAGCGGGATGGCCTGTCCGAGATGGGCGCCATGATAGGCTTCAGGGCAGACTGCGGCCTCCATAGGAGATCGCCGATATCGGCGATAGCTGGGGGTCTATTTGCCTTATACTTTTTATTTTTACGCCCCATCAGTGGAGGAAGAGGGTCAGCTCACCAGGTGAGTAGAAATGTGGCTGTAGTATGCCTTAATACCGATTGTTTCTCCGGCTGGCACGGAGCTGTTGTAAGACACGTCTGGACAGTGTGGCCGCTGGCTCTGCCCCAATTTCTCATACTTTTTAAGATTTTATTCATATTAAATTATGTTTCATATATGAATATTTGATGTGAAATGAGAGCCCTGTTTCTCCTAAATAAAATGATATAAAATAAGTGTAAGTGCACTTCAAATGAAAGAGGTAAATTAGGGTTTTGTTTTGATTTTGTTTTGATCAGAACATGTACAATTGCCTCCATCCTTAAGGGGTTATGCAAGGATTTTTGGGTACCCAGGCAAAGATGAGTTTTGAACCCCCCCCCCAAAAAGCATCTTTACCTGTGTGCCTCTTAACCCCCCTTTGTATGTCTTACTTCCCCTGCCCCTTTGTGTGTCTCATTCTCTCCCAGCCCCTTTGTGTCTTTTACTCTTTCCAGCTCCTTTGTGTGTTTTTCTTTCACCCCGAGCCCGTCTATCTTCCCCCAGCCCCTCTGTGTCTCTTTTTCCTCTTCTCCAGCTCCTCTGTGTCTCTTTCATCCCCAGCCCCTTTGTAATTCCATCCCCATGCCCTTCTGTGTGTTGCTTTCATCCCCAGCCCCTCTGTTCATCTTTCTTACCCCCAGGCCCATCTGTGTGTTTTTCTCCCCACTCAGTCACCCCCGTGTGACACTCTCCCCTCCATGTCCCTTAGTGTTCCTCTCCACTCCTCTCCATGTCCCGTAGTGGTCCTCTCCCCTTCCTGTCCCTTAGTGTTCCTCTCCCCTCCCCTTTTTGTCCCTTAATGGTCCTCTCCCCTACCCTTCATGTCCCTTAGTGTTCCTCTCCCCTCCATGTCCCTTAGTGTTCCTCTCCCCTCCCCTGTCCATTAGTGTTCCTCTCCCCCCTTACCTGTCTTAGTGCCCCACCTCTCCTAGTGTTCTTCTTCCCTCCCCTTAGTGTCAGTTTTCCCTCCCTCCCCTGCCCCTTAGTGTTCTCTACCTTACCTGTCTCTTAGTGCCCCCGATCCCTCTTAATGTTCCTACCACCCCTCTTTGTGTTCATCTCCCCTCCCTTCCCTCTTTTTAGTAATCCCCCACCCCAGTGTTCATTTTCCCTTCCCTTTACCTTAGTGCCCCCCTTAATGTTCCTCTCTCCCCACCATTGTGTTCCTCCCCCCTCCCTCTTAACTTTGCATTTGAACTCCAGCCTGTATAAGCAAATAAAACAGCTATGCGATACCTTTCTATGTGAATCTCTTCTGGATTCCTGACTGAGACCTTAATGTATCGTTAGACATAGATATCTATTAGATTTGAACTGACCTGATCATACTCAGATGCTCCAGGATACAATGGGTATCCTGTGAATAGCTCTGCCGTGATGCACCCCAAAGACCACATGTCGATAGCCTCCCAGAATGGTAATGCCAATATTATTTCTGGGGACCTGAATTTTATAAAAAGGAGAGAAATCAGAAGGTTAGCTAAATAATTGACAGTTTAGAGGTGTATTATTCAACTGAAATATAGGCTTAAATCACTTAAATTAGATATAGATCACTAAAATTGTTACTATTTCTATTAATTTAATCTTGACTCTCCTCCATCTGGCTGCCGGAAAGATATCAGTGGAAGTGTTTTACCACCACTCTTAAAAGACTCAACACAAGTACATATCAGCTAACAGAGCGGCCAGCAAAACCCACCTCCCATTTCCCCTAGCTAATGAGAGACCATGGACAGTCTGCAGCCATTTCCAAGTACTTTAATGGTTATCAGTTTTTTATAAAATGAGAATAATAGAGTAAAACCGCCTAAATGCTGCTTTGAAATGTACTTGATATTCCATCATATTCCACAGATTTCCACAGCTTCTTGAAGCCCATTACGTCACTCTGTGCACATATGAGAATCCCATAAGTTTATATTTTGTAATCTTTTGTACAAAGAATATACCAGTGACATGTTTTCTGACAGCTTGATATGCAAAGCTTTGAAGAAAAAGAAAGGGGGAATATTTATCCCACTACCCTTCTCACTACGAGAGCTTTGTAACAAGCAGCCACGTCACTTGGGCACATTTTGATCAATCCATGTCCATTTTAAGAGCCCTGTGTGCATATGTAGAGATGCACTCCACCAGAAACCATATATATCACAGATATCTCCTAATATTTCATAAAGAAAGGTTAACAAAACGATTAACCAAACCTAGTTAACATTAGTCTTTATACTCATTTCATAAATGTGAAGGATATAAATGTACTTTATTTGAAATGTGAATTATAACTAATAAATGTCCCTTACCTATAGTATCTTGTTTGTACATAGCTTGCAACTTGAACCTTGGATACATGGATTGCACACCCAAAGTCTATGACCTTGACCTTGAATGGGTGCTTGGAAGTGTCCACTAACATGATGTTATCTGGCTTAAAGTCTGTGTGGATTATTTGCAGACTCTTCAACTTTGCCAGTGCACTGCCCACCTGCTGGTATTTTTTTCACCGCAAGAGGTCTAAAGTTGCGTTTCTTGATAAAGTCATATAGACTAATATCCAACTTTTCAAACACAATGCAGATGTCATTGTTGTGCTGGAAATAGTCATAGTGTTTGACGATGTTGAATTCGTCTGGGTTTTCCTTGCTCAGCTGAGACAGGATTTCCACCTCAGCTTCAGCATCTTTAACAACACATGGTTGATCCTTCAGGATTTTGATCGCCACTTTCTCGTTGGTTCCTTTTAGAACACCCTTTACAACATTACCAAAGGTGCCACTGCCCAACAATTCCTGTACTATGTAAACGTTAGTCTTAGACCACAGGATGTTAGGTTGCTCCAATTTACTGACAGTAAAAAAAAAAAGGAAATAGGTTCATTTTAACACAATGCTTAATTTCAATCACAATATGAAACCATCTAAATCAGGATTATTTGACTATTTAATGAGAAGGTTGATAATACAATAACATGTACTTAGGGCATAGTGTCTACATTTGTACATCTGATATTATATTTAATTTCAATTAACCTGCAGTCCCTTAAGGTGTCTGTAGGAATATTCCCTGATAATTACATTTTATAGCGGACCTTTTACCTTCTTACCTTTTAGCATCATTGAACACGTTTATCAAAATTTCCATTTGTTTTAGAAACATATGGGATAAAAGACAGAGACTATTTCCCCTCAGCTGTGTTGAAATTAGGAGCCCAAATAATGAACTTCAATCCATTACTAGCTTTACCACACAACTTACACCAATCTGTTATAAATGATTGGAGAGGAGTTTTTCAGTTAATGAAATTAGTTTTAACATAATAAACAAAGGTCTAATAGTGCCCCACAATGTGGACATTGAAAAGAACCTTATAAATGATCACCCAGTAATTTATAGAACTAGAGGCATGCATGCGCAGTCATTTCTATGTTTCTTTAAATTAATTGTGTCTAGATAAAAGGGAGTTTTAGTTTTAACAATATCATTAAATTAATAATATAAAATAAAATGTGTTTATATAAACCTACAGCAAATCAAATTGTTGCTCCTCAGGTTCACATAATTTAGAGTTTTCCTCCATTTCATATGTTGCCTTTCCTTCAAATTGATCAAATCTGGTTATCACTGGAATAATATTTAATCGCTGACTATTCAGAACTGGATATACCAGATAATGAACCCAGATACATCATATTTTGTATCATAATCACACTTTGTATCAGTTTGTTTGGTATTATAACACATCGTATAGGTATTGAATCATTTCATGCTCCTTCTTATATCGTTGGAAAAAGTCATGTCTTTTGGAATAAATGGGCAATTACTATTTTAATCGATATTCCAACTGTAAATTCCCTCACCCCCCCAAACCCTGTTATTACACAGTGGGGATGGCTCCGAAAACTATTCCTACGGAATTCTACACTTTGTAAAGTATTTTAATCATTTTCCTCAGATAGGCAAACATTCTAGGCTTTACAGACTATACCTTGTACACAGTTTGTTTTAAAACATTGGATAATTGTTAAACTAATTTTTATCTGCATTGAATACTTTTTATTATTGATTGTAAAAATAATTTCAATTAGTGAGATTAGCATTAACATAATTATTATAGCTCTGGTGGTATCCAGTAACGTTGAGGTTATAATGTCCACGTTTACAAGTTAAATATTGAACATTGAAATGATAAACCATATTACAAAATATCACCTATAAATCCTAACCTGTTAAATTATATTGATATATAGCTGGACTGCCATAGAAGTAGTTGCCTAGGGATTTACCTTCTAACTAAAT